TTTGTACCAAAACAAATATGTATTCGCATTACCCCCAATATTCCCAAACTAAGCACCAACAAAATGTATGGCTTATCCCATTCACCCAGACGTGAAGTTCCGAAAGTTACCAATTTTATGATGTTCAAGCTGAAATATTGAAACCTTCCTCGTTAGCTCCTAGTAATAAATCAAAGGTAAGATATGTCAATCTAATTTTGAAATTAAATGGGAGCTTTTTTACAAACTACATAAATCCACTTTTCAAAGTTTTCAGGAATGTAAAACCGTGCTGCAGTCGATGACTAAAATTTTTCGAATTTCAGAGAACGTAATCAATTTGAGGTTAGATTTAGAGAAATGTTATAAATAAATATTTTAATTAACATTATTTGTATTGATTTGCATTAAACAAAATATAGCCATATGTCCTGTTTTAGATATCACGTTTATGCAGTTTGCAAAATCGAACAATAACTTAAAAAAATATTAACACGGTACCCACTAACAACAAAAAAAAATAGGAGGACCAAAAAATTTAGATGTCGGAACAGTATGTTGGCTCAGCCTCCAACAATCCCATCCTCGCCATCATGAGGTAGTTGTGTGGGTTTTCCTGGATTGTTGGGATCACTAGGAACCTTTAGGTTGAAGGGCATTAATATATCCATGGAAGCAGCAAGGATCTCTATCTAAGGTTGTCCAAAGTGTACAGTTTGCCAGAAATGGAAGGACATCGTTTTTTTCTCTTCCCCAGCTCACGGAATGAGATAGTGGGTATTTGGGAAAGAGCCTGAAGAAAATCATTTTTATTTTTGTTACCAACGCGTCTTAAAAGTTTCTGTTCCACTAATCGAAACCCAATCTTTGTTTATGATTTTCTTAGTAATGAGGCGTTTGGAGTTTGGCTGATTCCTTTTATTTTTTGATAAATCATTTCAAGCTTTTGATATCGTATATCACCCAGTTTGACTGTACAGATCCAAACTCCTCGTAAATAGAAGCATACTCTTCCGCTCGAGATGATGGTAATCAGTTTTTTTTTCAAGCGCATTCTTCACACTGCGCCAAACGCTCGATCAGATGAAGAAAACTGGCCACGAGAGTCAGAAAGGATTCTGAACTTGAAGTTTTTTGTACCATCTCGAGGAGCCATATTTTTCAGCCAATGGGCACAAAAACATAAACAACTAGGGCCAAATTTTTATTTTGGCTATCACAAGCATCACAAGACAATGATACTGGCAGAAAAAGTCCAAAAGATCTTTGGCCGTCTGAAAGTGATCGGATGAGTGGCAGATCCGATTTCATTGGCTCCTCGGCTTGCCCTGCGTTTTCAATCCACGAATAAAATGTGTGGCCGCCATTAAGTCAATAGGCACACAGTCAAACTAGCATAGAAACAATTTTATATAAACTTATTTACACAGTAGCTCTACTGGAAAGGTAAACTATTTCTTATCTTTTGTTCTCTTTGGCATAATGAGATTGCGGACACAATTTAGTTTGTAACCAAGAAATTGACGGACTGCTTCCTTTTTTGGCTCTGAAAAAATCTTCTTCGTCGATAACCACCTCTGATTTTCTTTGGGCAGCTGACCTTGATTGGACGACCTTTCCAATCCGCAGTAGTCAGAGGCAGGTACACCCATTGACAAAGCAAAAACTATTTACAGGCAGGAATCATGCGTGATCGGTTTCTGATTATTGAAAGAAATTTCACAGAAAGCTTTCTTGGTGCGAGTTACAGAGACAGTGCGCACCATTTCCCCTTCTGGGGCTCCGAAAGCGATGTATATATATTTCATCAAAACAATATCTTGTTTCTCTTTACCCTCTGCCATGTAGACTGCTTGTCGATTATTTTTTATATCATCGTAGGATACCGTAGCACAACGAAGATTTTCGAATTATGGGCACATGGTCTGGTCTTCTGTTTTAGAAACACGAAATGAGGATCACTTTCGTGTGTCTTCATAATTTTTGAATGCTCTCCCTCTCACTTGTTTTGATGGATCGCCTTTTTTTAGATCCCACCGTTAAGTTGCAACACGATCCTATCTCAAAATACACGCAAAACACAGAACAACGTTAACATACAACGAATTTACAACATTCCGTCTCATCGAACGGAAAAGTACTGATAATCTCATACAGCGGCATGCTGGCATGGCGTGGCTACGGTACACACTGTCAGTGCGACCCCTGATGTAGTAAAGAGAAACTTTTAAAGTAGAACTTTTTTTTAAAATATAGAGGAATAGTTCTTCAGGCCGGAGGATTTATGCAGTTTTGTATAAAACATAAACTAATTTAATGTTTAGCTAAGAAGGAGATGTTAAGTTTTGTATAAAAAAAGAGTGAACATGGGGTAGATGTTTTTGAGTGGATTAATTAAGTTTTGTGGAAGAAACGTGATTTTTAGGCTCATTTTAAATGGAAAATATTAACTTAACACGATGAGACTTATACACAAGATCTAAGTCATATTTTAGCCGGAAATAGTTTTAATGCAGTTTTGTAAAAAGCTCTTCAATATATGGTGCAAGAGCACAAGTCGTTCAATGCTCCGTGTATGAATCGGTATCATTAGAGTCTTATAACGCGTTATTTATGCATAACCTTGCTTCGTCAGAGGCTTCGCTAGCGAACGTCCTGCATTTTCCACCTGAAGTGGTAGTATAAAAGGTGCCATCTACTTTGATGGATATTTAGAGAGACATTGTTTTTAATTTATTCTCATTTCAAACTTCTCAAGGTGAAAAGAGTAAAAAACATATAGGGATCTTTAGTATACTTTGGGACAAACGTGTTGTTTTTGGCACCCTTTTTAAAGCAAACAAATCTGGACACACAGCAGACGTCTGTCCTAACCCCTCAAACAATTATCTAGACATCACTCTCCAAATAAACTTCTAGCCATCCTTCTTGGTGAAATCAACCATCTAAAATGTCTCCATTTCCTTCCGCACTCCTCAAAAGAAGAAATCTGCCAAATAACACTCCTACTGACCTAGAGCTGTGTAGCTCGCGAACGAACTAGTCAAAAGATCGACTCTCATAATGAACTAAAAGATTCAATCTCAAATATTAACAAGCGAATCATATCGAACTAAACGTCACACAACGTAACAGACAGATAGATCGAGAGAGCAACGATGGAAAGAACGTCGATATTTCGATTGTCGATCTCATCTTGTCAACGATTTCAATCAATATCGCCAACCGTAAACGTTTGTCGAGTCCAGCTAGACAAGCCATATATATATTAAAGAAAGAGCGTCACAATTTAAACCCCATGAGAAGAGTGAGATGCAGGCAGATGATAAACATGTTAGATTAATTGATTTGAGGCTTTGATGGATTGAGTTACGTTGTTCGTGGTTACGTCCAAACTGGCGAAAATAGAAGTAAAGGTTGTGTGGGTTTCTTTTCAGTTTATGACAATGAGAGTAAGCATCGAGGAGTTAAAGAAAGAATGCCGAATAAGTTTTGTCGTATACTTTCCATAAATTTTTAAAAACGTTATTTAATAAAACCGTTGTATTGATAGATTTATTCGAGGAAAAACTGAAAACCCAGACTTTTAGTGACTAAAAGTGTGGAACTCCTTTTAATGGAATGTGAAGTAACTACATTTACTTAAAATCAATTCTCAATCAATTACTTAAAATCAAACACAAATATAATGTATTTACTCATAAATTTATTAACAACTACAGTCTGACAAAATCAAATTATCAATATTAACCATTTAAGCTTGACTTAGTCTACCCACCGTACTTTTGAGTACCACCAAATTCTGGTAACCCTTATAACCCAGACAGGAAGTACATATCTAATTTGAGAATGTTTTTAGCCGCAAATATCAAACTGGAACAAAAAAATTTTGATATAGCAGTGTTGACAATGCTTTATAATGTAGATGCTGTATGCTTCAAATATAAAAAGATAAAGCTTTAGAAAAAGTACATTTTGATTATACAATTATGTATGAATTCTGCATTTGTTGATTATATAAAAGAAGAATGGGTAAATATTTGTTTCTTTGGATATTAATAGCAAGTTTAATTATTAGAATTTTTTTTAGCAATTACTAGTTAAAAGATGAATATATATTTAAAACAACACACAAAAATTGTTGCACTACACTAGTTTTGCTCCTTGTTGAGAAAATGTACTGCCACACACTTGTTCTATATTACCAATATCAACAGCATCCTAATTTTCCAGTATTTCAATGTTTTCTCTATGTAACTACTGCAATATTATGTATTTAAAACTAACCAAGCTGTTATTATTACTTGAACGAAAGTAACTTGCATCTCATTTCACATATTAAAATGGAAATCTCTTCAAAATACAAAATGTTCTTTCAATAACCCATTCTTGGAGCAATTTGTGTATACTGCACTTCAACTGCTGTCTAAGATTCTACAATGTGCCATTAGTAGTTGAGGACTAGATATTCACTATTCCTAATAATACATTGTCCATAAAATCCCCATTTTATATACTTATACTTAGGTACCCATAATAATAATAATGGGCAAAAGTATTTAACAAACTCTTAAAACTACTAGTATTTTTAATTGCACTTCCAGTTTGTAGGATGAGTATTATGGGTTATGGTATTCTTTAAATTAGATATAACCGATTTAACGTTTTATCGTTTTATTCTTTGCGATGATATTATCAACGAATCTTATTTTAATTTAGGCAACAAATTGAACAAATACAATTTTATAGGTGACTTGTTATATTTACAAAAGTATTCAATGTCATTTGTCAAAATAAAATGTTCCTGATTGATCTACTTTGATTTACATAGGGATGATACATCTCAATGTAAATAGTATGTCATCGTATGAATCAGTCAATGTCAGCAGAACCCATTCTGCTGACACAAGTCTTGAATCTCCTACTTTATCGGTTCCTTCTAGCCCACCAACTTTAATACACTACCTACCACAGCCT